CATGTAAGCTATGGGACTGACGGAAAGGTCTGTCACCGCCCCGTTCTGCATGCTGCAGCGAAGTGTACCTCGAATAAGCAGGCATCACCCGTAGTTCAGCTTCAATTCTCTCTTTATTCTCCTCTTTCTTCTCCTTCATACCGCTTCTTATATACAGTATACAGTCAGAGCTCCCCCTGCTGTCCTTTTCATGCAATAACAARACATAACATTTTCCCTTTTCCTGAAGCAATTACTTACATGTAACATTTGCACTGTATAACTGACAGCAGGAAACTAAGTTTRTAGAATTCCTATTTCAGTAAGCCAACAGTAATCTGAAATGTTTACGAACCATATTAGCTCAAGTAGCAACAGTACATTAAATGRATATCAGCATTAGAATACTGTTAACCATATGCATTACAGTCTGAACATTTAAACCCATTTATTTTTACTGTATTTTACTTTAGCAAAACAGTAGTAATYTTTACTTGTCTTACCGAACACTAATACCATTCTGAACAGGAGTGTTTACATTACTTTTCACTTTATCTTACAAAACCTGTCAACCATCTTGGTGCATTTCTAGATCTCTGACTTCTTCTAAGTACAGCAGCAGGTTCATTASTGTTTCCTGGCAATGCAAAAGTATCAAATACAGTATCACTGTTTTGTTCTGAACAAGCTAAGTTTTGTTTTGGGAAGTGCGCAAGTTTTGAAGCATTCCACTTGCGTCCGTCGCTTAGTAAGAAAGTGTTTTGTCCAACTTTCTTTATGACAGTCCGTGGTTCAGTAAATCTTGAAGATCCTTTGGAAACGTGCTCAGGTCTGCGAACACGAACAGTGTCACCCACTTTGACTGTTGGTACTTTAGCTCTCRTTTTCTTGTCTGTGTATTCCTTCTTTTTATTTTGCCTTTGTTTCACCTTCTGTTGTATTTGGGCATGTGTTTTGCTTTTCAGTTCTACTGGGAGTATGTTTAACTTGGTGCGCATCTTTCTGTTTCTCAGTAGCTCAAATGGGGTTACTCCGGTGGTTGCGTGAGGAGTAGCTCGGTAGTTGAGCAGGAATTCTGTTACAGCTTCCTTCCATGAGCTGTGACTTCTTTCAGATGTTTGTATGCACTCCTTAATTGCTCTGTTGAATCTTTCCACAGCACTATTTGCTTATGGTAGTATACACTGGACCTTAAGTGCTGTATCTCTCTCTCTCTCTCTCTCTCTCTCTCTCTCTCTCTCTCTCTCTCTCTCTCTCTCTCTCTCT